TTGCCCCAGTACTCGACCTGCTGGAGCCAAAAGGCGTACCGTTCTCCCCGCTCTTGTGCCGATAGAAGCTGAACCTTGTCTTATCTCTTCCAATATGAAGTGGGTGCTGAGCAAGGATGCACTGAAGCATGTCTTGGGCCTTGATATACCTTCTCTTGAGACTATCGAGCAGAATGAAAGGTGCAAATGAGAGTTTGATGAGACGGTGACCGTGATTGAGCATGGGTTGACATACATACACGAGGAATCAGCGCCATGGAGGAAAGATCCGGTGAAGCATCCAACACCGAGGATATGGGATGTCTTCAAGCATGGTGTGGTGAGATTTGTGGCTCCCTTGAGGCCACCCTGGAAGTCACCATGGACCATTTGATGAAAGGGAAGCAATAAGTCAGGCCAACGACAATAAAAAGAGGCGCTTGTTGGGAGGCAACCCAATGGTGTGCGTGGTTCGGTCGACCTTCTTCGCATTGACTAAGGTGAACTCGTTTCTTTTACCTCCATATTTACCATTGTGATTATTGGTGTCGATGATATGTGCAAACTCTAAGTTTGGGGAGGTGGTTTCTTGGTGAGCATTCATGTTTATTATGTGATTATATTTTTGCCCCTTTGAGTTTGAGTCTTAGATTAATTGCATGATATATGTTAGTCTTGTGTGTGCGTGAGATTGCATTTACGTGGAATTTTGCGATGATGACATGAGAGTTGGTTTGAATTTATTGTGCTAGTTTAAATGGCTTGAGTTAATTTTATTTGGTTAAATTCTTAAGGTGTTTTTATTTTGGGAACAAAGCATGATGGTTGATATTTTTGTGACTTATTTGTGGTGAGTTGGTTTTGAAGTGATTTGTATTGTTGAGATGTGCTTGTGATTGCTTTAATCAATGTTGATTAAGTTTGGGGACTTGAAGTTGAAAGTTGGAGTTTCTATGTCTCATATTCGAAAAAAAAGAATAATGAGGAAGGAAGAATAATTGGTGGAGTTGAAAAGCCTTTGGCAAAAAAAAAAAAAAAGTCATGGGCTGCAACAGCTGCCAATCCGTGGGGGTTCTAGTGTATAATTCCAATAATTCTTGTATCAAGATAATCACGAAAGGCTAAAACCCGCGCGTTGTGACGGAACTGCCGTTCCCTACTTCGAGAGAAAAAAAAAAAAAAAAGAGAGAGAATAAAAAAAAGAAAAAAAAAAGAGTTTGGTGAATGAGACGTTTAGACTTCGACTAGAAATAGATAGAAACTAGACTTGTTAGCAAAGAGAGAGGTGTTATGAGTTGCATTGATCTGTGCATTCGTTATAGAGATTGACAAACTATGGTGGTCACTTGGATTGATACTTGATGTGTTTGAGTTCTTAGAATAATTTCGTCTTGAGTCCGAATAAATTGATTTGAGTTGATTGAACTATGCACTTATGTGGGAATTGTGAGGTCCTGAGCAAATATTCCGCGTACTTGTTTTCTTTGGTCCATCTATATGCATATAGTTCTAAGTTGCTTGGGGACAAGCAACGGTTTAAGTTTGGGGAGATTTGATTGGTCGGAAAAAGTGTGTAATTTATATGTCTATTAGCGTATCTTTATATGCTTAAATTTATCGCACTTATATATTTTTCGACTTAATTATTTATTAGATGAATCCAAATGCTATGATATTTTTATGTCTTATTTTTAGGATATTGGAGTATTTTTATAGAAGACGAGACGTTGAAGGCATAGACGTGAGCTCGACAACCTCCTACAGTGCAGTACGAGGGCGCTCCATATTCTGCTACCGCACCCCATACTCGACCCAATGTAGTCTACCTAATTTGGGCCTAAGATTTAGAGAATAAAAAAGCCACGTGTTTGACATGAGGAATTCACTCCACTTTTATCATGAAATTGGGAGGATTTTGAAGTGGGCCCACTTTGCAATGGATTTGGTAGACTTAATTTGAAGTGGCTTGGAGAGTTAATTGCTGGAGGAGTTTTGACTTATGATTAATGGGCCACTAGGAATTATTTGCCCAACAGGACACTATTAGAGGAGCCACAGAAAAACATATTGAGGGAGAACATTATTCACGCACAGAGAGCCGCCAAACATCAAGAGAAAAGAAAAGGGAGCAGGACAGATACGCGAACAGAGAGCAGACAGACGAGGAAGCTGATAATCGCGGAGGGAGGCCGCACCCGCACACGAGGGAGATAATTAATCTCTCTCTTTTATCTTTTTATTTTTATTTATTATGTTAGTTTAAATTTTATTTCTAGTTCCGGGGAAGTTGAACCCTACGTACTTGATGATGTTTGATTGATTTATGCGGTTGATTATTGAGTTATCTTTTTGGAATTGTTTGTGTTATTTTGAATAATTAACCATGATGTGTTGAGTCTATTTAGATTGATCACCTAGATAGGATTTTACATATCTACACCTAAATTAGGCCTTCAATCCGTAATTGTTGATGTGTTTAATTCGCAAGTGGTATCCGGAAGATGGTAACTACCAGGGATAACACGGTCTATTTAAGTGAACGAACGCGGTTGAGTTCACTACTTAGTCTAGCCTATTTTTCTAAATCGTAAAGCGGCTAACTGAATTAAATTTAGGAAACGTTTCCTAGACTGTTCAAGAGGTCAGATTTAATCGTAGAGCGTCTCGCGGTTAGATTAAAAATAAGGAAAAATTCGGGTAACAGACCGTGTCGTTGCCTAGGGCTAGTAATTTCATAAGATAGCGAGATTTGATGCCAGAATTGATTAGACGAGTCAGTCGAGGGTGTAGACGGAACCGTGAACTAGAAATTTCTCTTATTTATTTTATATTTATTTTTAATTCCTTTCTTTATATTTTTAGGATTTTTAGTTAGTTTAATTATCAAAACTCAATCCCCCCATTTACCGCTTTTATAAATTCAATTAATACGAGAAAATTCACAATTTGATTCACACTCCCTGTGGGTTCGACCCTTTCTTACTACTACTACTAGCTGGTAGAAGTCGGTTAAGGAAAATATAAATTTTAATTTTGTCGCGTTGCGACGCGCGGTCAATAACTTAAAATATGGTGTAGTATTATCTTGACCAAAATATTATCAACATGGATCGCAGAAATCAATCTTGTAATTTATTATAATGAATATCAATGAAAGTATTATAAATATTAATAAAATAATATTTATCTTGACCAAAATATTATCAACATGAATCACAAAAATTAATTTTGTAATTTATTATAATAAATATCAATAAAAATCCTGCAAATATTAATAAATTTATCTAAGTAATTATTTGATCTTACTTGAAAACGTGTAAATAGAAGCAATTAATGCATATATTTAAAAAATTTCCAACAATAGTATGCATTAAATGTTTCCTAAATTTTTGCTACTATTTTTAGTAAATGATAATTCTTTTTATATAGATATAGATATTAACACTCTCTCTCATCCACATCATATTTCCACTAATTATCTCTCCCTTTAAACCACTGTTCTAAAAATCGGTCTAGGCGTTAGACGGTGCCCGGGCGCCTCCGATTTGCACAAATCGGCAGAAAAAATGGGCCAGGCGGCCCTTGGCGCGCCTAGGTGGGCTTGGCGGCAATATTTCAGTTTTTTTTTTTAATTTATTTTTATTTTTTAAACATTAATTACATTATTTTGTTCTCACGTTCTCTTTAAAATATATTAATTTGATTTTTTGGACTTAGGTGTGTCGATATTATAAGTTGAGATAATTTATTTTGTAGGTAGTTAAAATAAAAAAAAATAAGGTATTTAATATTAATTTCTAGGCCCCGACTTGGCCCCACCTAGGTCCCGACTAGGCCCCGCCTAGGCGCTAGGCGCTGGTCGAGCGCTTAGCGGGCGCCTAGCGACTTTTAGAACACTGTTTTAAACACACACCCACATTTTTATCATTCATTTAAATACATGTATGAGACCCATTATCCACTCATTCACTATAAATTTTGATATTTTATTTTAAATAAAATTAAAAATTTAATATTTTTAAATTATAATAATAAATTTTAAATGAATGAAAATAAAAGAACACTACAAAACCGAAATAACTAAATTAATATTAAACGAGAAAAAAAAATATAAATCATTAATACATATTAAGAAGTGTGATAGATAAAATTAAATTTATCAATATTAGAAAGTGTAATATAGATAAAAAAAAATAAATTAATACATAAAAAAATAATATAATAAACAATTAATTTAAAATAATATAATTAAACAATTAATTTAAAACAAAAAAAAAAAGTAATGGCTGAACTCGTTCAGCCCTTTGAACGCAATGGTAAGCCCCGTTGAATAATGGATGTGCTGCATCCAATTGAACGCCAACATGGCGTTTAAACGCTCAAAAAATAAAAGCGATGCAGATGACCTAAACCGTGCATTAGGTAGAATATTTGCAACTCAAATAATGAATCAATATATTCTGCAATCACTACATAAAAAGTCCCCTCACATATTTTCCAATGTCGACACTTTTGGGTTTGTATATTACAGAAATTCTATGGCACCACATGTGACACCACATTATGGCGCCACAACATGATGTAGCACATTATGATTGGTGATATTCTGTTGTATATTACGTATTAAACTTATCCAACGGTAGAAGTCGTGGAAGCTTCTTCCAGCTGAAGATATTCTATATTCATCAGATAAAATTATGATCCACTTAGGTGAACAAAATCTACTAACCACTTGAAATCAGTGAAACTACAGAAGAAAAATGTTCAATCTCTACTAACCACTTTGAAATCAGTGAATCTACAGAATAAAAATGTTGTGACACTGGTTGAATAAATTGACAGTCTGAATTTCTCAAATCTAACAGTAACATCCGAAAGACTTGTGCAAAAGGCAGCGTATAAACCGAATCCTTATAGTGCTATAGTGTCGTTATAGTACAGAAATACCAATCCGAGCGGTGCATAAAAATGTTGTACCATTCGTACTGCAAGCGAAAAAATCTGCACAAATGACATGAATACTAGTAATCCAAGAGTGGACTCCCTTCCTTCACAAGCACAAAAAGGCCACCATCTCCTCTCGAAATTCGAAACTCTTTATCAAGGTACGTGATTAGAAGCCACGATTTTGTCCGTTCACCGGGAATAGGAATCTTAAGAGGAGGCTGACCAGAAATAGTCTGCGCTAGGCCCTCAACAGCATTTTGAAGTGGACTCAGGGATTGCTGAACCGGTGATAAATTTAAGTTCTGCCCGAAAATATTAACGCTTTCCGGAAGATCTATGCTAGACTTGATCTCAGGAGGTTTAAATTTTCCTTCTTTGAATTCAACCTGGAAAAAATATTTCTTTGATTAGTTCTTAGAAAATCTCCCAACACGTATAGTTCGGTTTGTACATCTAAAGATAAAAATAATAATTACTAAGAGGAAATTGACAATGAATTGTAGTGTACCTGTATTCTTGAAGGGCTCCGGACTTCAAAGGATGCCGAAGCACTAAAGGAAAAAGAGGAAAAGGGAGTCGATAATGTGGTGGAGTTCTCTATGATAAGGCTGCTTGTGTTGATGGATTGGCTTATTTTTTCGACTTTCACGGAGGGAATACTGCCTGCTGCTAGCAGGGGCAACAGCTCAGAGAAGGCCGTGTACCTGATATGCATGTAAAAAAAAATACCCATGCCGTATGTTAGCGTGAGAAGCTCTTTGAGGTCAAGGCAATCTGAGCGGCGGCGGCCGTGGTGACAGCCTTTTGAATCATAGCAGTTTCAATCACAAGCTGGGTAGAATGACTCCTAATTGGGGGGTGTGCCCAACAGCTGGCCTTTTACTAGATCATTGCACCAGTATGCAGCCACACGAAGATTTGATTTTGAGTTTACTTACCCACCACTAGTGCTATTAAATTAAACGAGTCTGGCTCAGCTCGGCTCGAGCTAGGCTCGTTAAGGCTCGGTTTGGCTCGAGTTCGAAGCCTTAACGAGCTGAGCTCGAGCTCATTTAAAGCTCGTTTGGTTAACGAGTCGAGCTCGGCTCGATAAGGCTCGTTAAGGCTCAAAAAGTGAAATTTATGTAATTTTTTATAGTTCGGCTCGTTAAAGATCGAGATCGGCTCGTTAAGGCTCGAGCTCGAGGGCTTAACGAGCCAAGCTCGAGCTCAATTTTTGGCTCGTTTACTTAACGAGCCGAGCTCGGCTCGGCTCGTTAAGAGCTCGAGCTCGAGCTCAAACACCTTAAGCTCGGCTCGGCTCGGCTCGTTAAGAGCTCGAGCTCGAGCTCAAACACCTTAAGCTCGAGCTCGGCTCGTTTACAGCCCTACCCACAACAACAACAATCCAGTCCATGTGAACCACCAACACCATAAGCAACATTAGGGCGTATGTGACGGTAAGTCCAGTTATTACGTACTCATGAAGCCTGTTACGAAGGTAGTAGCCGATGAACAGTCCCACAACCATCATGCACGAAAAAAACCATAAATTCTTGGTATTTACTCAGGAGTTTGGTTTGCCTCTCCATTAGTTCCTCCCTTTCACCTTCCAGATATTTAAAGCCCTCAAAAGCTGACTTCCGATGAGCCCCTGGAGGTGGTGGCTCATGGCCCTGTTCATGCTACTAACAAGTCCAGGCCATGAGCCATGGCCCCCACTTCCACTTGTCATTGGAAGTCACATTTCGAGGGCTCTAAATGCCCTGGAAGATGAAATGGAGGAACTAATGGAGAGGCAAACCAAAATCGTGGCTTTTTGCTTGAATTTTTTCTTGTAGTTCAATGTGCGTGACCATGATGGGAAGGCTCTAAATGCCCTGGAAGATGAAATGGAGGAACTAATGGAGAGGCAAACTAAAATCGTGGCTTTTTTCTTGAATTTTTTCTTGTAGTTCAATGTGCGTGACCATGATGGCTGGTTGGGGGACTGTTCATCGACTACTACCTTCATATAAGGGTTCATGGATACGTAATAACTGGACTTGTCACCGTCACATACACTCTACTGTTGCTTATGGTGATCTTAACAATGAGAAGGTTGAACATGAACTGGACTGCGTACACGGTGGGTAAGAAAACTCAAAATCTTCGTGTTGCTGCAAATTGGTGCAATGGTCCTGGTAAAATGCAAGCTGAACACACCCCCACCGAAGTTAGGGGCCACGCTGCCCGACTTATGATTGAAGTTGCTATGATTCAGAAGGTTGTCACCACGGTGCAAAACTGTATGCAAGGATGGCTGAATATTAAATAGGTGTCGAGAAAGTGGAAGGTCCCATTTGCGTAAATTAAATACCCATGCCGTAAATTGACTAGAAAAACTCTTTGAGGACCAATAACGACAAGAGCCTGACCCTCACATTTTATATGCATGCTTATTCATAACACCAATTACACTGGAACAGATTATTCGAAGGAAATATTGGGCCATTCAGCATGTAGGAAAACAAATAAGTTGATGATATATGTATTGAAGAGTTAAAATGTTCTCTGCAAGTCTGCTATCAAGATGTGAGCAGCCATAAACACTGATGAAAACAAGGAACTGTTTGGTCAGGCAGTTAGTTAAGAGCCCCCTAGTAAGAAACGCTATGTAGTAGCAAAAAGAGTTGCAATACATGTGATATCAAATATTTCTAATAAAAAATGGAGCAATCAACCGGGAACGAATCCATGCAAACATCCATAATGCTTATATGTGTGCACTACGAGCTAACATAAGATTGTGCGGTCATTTTTATCAGCAGATCAACACAATATGCAGTCAAGTAGAAAGAAGGATCTAAAACACGCTGTCCATTTAGACAGTGTTAAATACAAACGAATAAAAAGTCCAAAGATTTTTTCATCGATGATGTATTATGTAATGCATCCAGATTAATGGTGAAGCCAATCAAGTGGAATGCTTTTCTCTCTGAGAATATCGAGATTTAAAATTACAGACATCATTATCGATTAACCCTCCAATACCGAGCATAGTTCTTACAAATCAATTAAGTTAATTTGCCATCACCATCTTCTTCTACAATCAGCATTACAATTAGAACTATCAATTCTATATAATTCCCCATTAATCACCAAAATGCAGCACAGAAAATCGATTTGAGCACAGATAGAAACAATTCAATAATGGACGAGATTATTTTTTCTTCTGCAAAAGATACTTACACTAAAACCCAATTCCCATCAAGCAATCCAGCGCTTTTAGTCGGGGCTGGAGTCGGATTCGCAGCCTCCAGCTGCGAGACAAGTTCGTGGACCTCAGCCCGCACCTCAGCCGATGCTCGGAATCCTAAATCCGAACCGTAAACAGTGTCCAGCAAAGCCCGTTTCAGCTCCCAGAGCTGCTCATCGGCCTCGCTTTCTGCATCGACGCTCACACTAGCTCCTCCACCATCGGCGACCGGGATTACGTTGCCCAATCTAACACCAGATACCCCTCCCCACTCGTCCTCGTCCTTGGGAGGATCCGGACCCGAAAACTTCGATTCGGGTTCGGGCTCGGGATCCGTTCTCTCCCCCCACTCGTCGACGTATGGCAGGTTTTCGGACACCCCTTCCCACTCGTCCTCGTCCTTGGGAGGATCCGGGCCAGAGAAATTCGATTCAGGTTCGGGCTCGGGACCCATTCTCTCCCCCCACTCATCGACGTACGGCGGGTTTTCGGGTTTAGAAGGCGGGTCCTCGTTGAAGGAAAAGCGTACGGAGAAGATGGGTTTGTGGGTCGGAGATAATGATTTTACGGCGTGGTGGGGTTTGGCTGATTTGGGAAGGAAGCTTTGGGGTAGCCTGTGAGAGCGTAGGAGGGAAGAAGGGTTAGGGTTTAGTAGGAGAGACATTGTTGTGGTTGGAGTGAAGGATGATGAGCTCTGGTAATTTTTTTCTGTCAATTTATTGGACGGTTTTGGACTTTGGAGTGTTGCAGTCTTGCAGATAGAGATGGCCACGGGCCGGACCTGTTTCACAGGTCTCGGCCCGGCCCGAACCGGCTTCCTAAGGTCCAATTCGTTGAACCGGACCCGTAGGACCACGGTTCAATTCCAAGCCATAATTTTTTTTTTTGACCCGTCGGTCCGTGCCAAGCCGAACCGCAAGCCACGATGTTATTTTTCTTCCTTAAAGGCCGTCCCGGCCCGTGACCCGTAGGGCCAGTTCTATATATTTTTCGGGCCGGTCACGGGCCATGGTGTTGAGGCCTGACGACCCGGCGGGCCAGGCCGTGGCCCAGCACCTGGCCATGTCTAGTTGCAGAGACTATGAGCTGTGAATTGGGTGGTGTTTTCGAAATTGGAAATTTTTGTGGGATACTTTTTCAATTATTAGTTTTTGTTGGCACGTTTATGCATCACAAAAGATTATTTATTTATTTATTCATTTGTGTTCCAAAAGAAATTATTAGGGGTGGGCACGGTTCGGGACGGTTCGGTATTTAACATGTCCCGGTCTTTTGAACCGGTTCGAGACGAGACCCCGTCCCAAATGGATTGGTAACAATCGGGATCGGGACAAGACGGTTCGGGACTCTAGGACAGAATGGGACAAAAAAATGTCCAAACTTCAAACTATTCATTGCTCCACTTAAAAAAAACAAATGATTTCATTGGTTGTTTCCATTTAAACTAATTAAGGTGCAATCCTGAAAGTAAAAGTAAAAAAAAAAA